ATATAATATAATATAATATAATAGTCTTCATTTGTATATTATAAAATGCTAATTAGTAAATAGTTGTCTATCTAAGGAATAAACAGCTATGAACAGCATGTCTGTGTGAACACAGTGTTCATTCATGCACACCAGAAGTGCTACAGCTAACTGCTGCTGCTGCCATGTGTACATAAACCAATGAATTTTTAAAACGTAAATAATGTAGAGCGAATATGATGGAAATGTACAAATGTTAGACTGATATTTTATATTTCTGACAAAACAAATGTAATGCAAAATAGCTGAAAGTTTATAAAAGAGCTTTCACAAAAACAGGACAGCAGTCGTCCACTGTTCAGACTAGCCATTAGTTCGTCAATCCTGTCAGAGTTAAACAACAACAGGTAAGATGGTAAATGCTTTTTTATTTTAGTAGTCACCATATAGAAACTGGTCACAATCTGGTGTTCAGCAGCAACATGAAGACAGAGACAGATGTATTTACTATTTTGAGATACTTCTGGAAGATGATGCTTTTGTTTTGTATCGACGATGAAGTGGACAATAGAGCGCTGAATATATCTACACTCAAGAATAATTTACAGGCCATTGGCAGCCCAGCTTTCTAATTAATCAGTCTCAATCATTTAAAAACATTCAAGAATTCAGAATTGCAGCCTTGTTTTTACTTCTGACCAATTATAGGGCTGTCTCCAGCATCATTAGTACAACTGCCAGGGACAAAGACAATGACAGACAATTACAGTGTAARTAAGTTCAAGCATTTCCTTTCCATTCAGACTACTCCATTTTGTCTTTGATGGTTATTAAAAGGGTAAAAGTTTTAGTGCAGTGGATCTTCTAACAGTATTTTAGTCAGCAGTTTGGGTTCCTTTATCTATTGCAATTAGCTTCACCATTAATATCTGTCGAAGGTGTTCTGCGTACACAGCCACTAGATGGTGACAGCGACTTGTCTGAGGTCTGTGTCACAGCCGTTTGCCATTATACAACACAACAGCCCTAAAAGGGAGAGCCACGAACAATTAGAGTTGAGGACAAAGAGCAAAATAAACCCAACCCTGAGTAACTGCAGAACAATGTCTGCTTGAATACAAGGACAGGTGTGTAGATTGTGTACATTTAAAAATGCACAATTTGTTCATCCAGTTCAGAAGCTACAGTGTTTACTGAAGAACAGGAGGAACCAAAAGGGGAACAAACTGACACAAATATGTGTTCAGCTACAGGTCACATGATCAAAACTGTCCATTTTTCCCTARACAGGTTTCCCCAAATCATGCAGACAACTTCCTGATGACTTAGCAGTCATAATTACAAACCAAGAGTCTTTTCAATCCTCAATTACAGACCTAATTAGATGTTTGATATCCTTTTTGCCAAGCGTGTATGACTGCCTACKACATTAATCATCAGCTCTTATCACTAGAAGTCAACAGCAACTTTCTCTGTAATTCCTTTACACACAAACTGCATTGCTCTCACACACAAATGTAACGCTTGTGGGAAACACCTTGAAATARAAACGGTGATTCTTAACACATGGCACGTAGCCGATGCAGCAACTTAAGATGTACTTTTCAAGAGTTTTGCTGTCTGCAGAGGGACTCACCCAGCTGGGACGATCCTGCTCTCTGTGGGCACTGCGACTCCTCATCCTGAAGAGACTCGTCTCCTCAGCAGAGCTGGAAGGAGCCGATCGTCGGGACATGCTGCGAGACCTCATCCTGTCCTAACATCATATATGAGAAGAAGTTAAGCACTGATTTAACACTTTGAACTAAAAGATGTTTAATAAAAATTATGATGCTGGAAATACTGAATATATTCAAAACCAACAGGTGAGTTTTCACATAAACCAACAAATTTCTGATAATGTGCGAAGCTTGTAAAAAATATTAAACCAAAAGGAAAGAAAAGTCAAATTGTTGAATCAACATTTAATTTTAAACTTTTATTTGTTTACTTGTTAAKTTTTATTTAGAGAGATGATAATTATTCATTATATCTTTGAGTGAACAGATGGATGTGCAAATTCTGCTACTTCTTTAGCAACTGGGATGATATTACTAAGGAAATAAATAAGACTGTTTCAATCTTAGAAACCAGAAACTACTGTACTAAGACTACTTGGTTCAAAGTTTGATTTACATGAATACTAATGCACAAGTTCAGGATTATAGTTCAAAATTTAGAAAATCTGAACTTCACTGATACAAATTGAGCTAGTGCATGTTTATTTTTCATTTTGTGAGCAAAAMATGTTTTAGAAAACAAACAAATAGTTCAAATTATGGTGGATAAATGTATGTGGTAATTAGCATTTCCTTTGCATCACATATTTTGCTAAATTCAAAATGCTTTTACCTTTGTTTGCCCCTCTCCTGTTTTCTGGGCTCACAAAAACTTTGTTTTATTATGATAAGTTTAAAATAAAGCTGCTCTCATTCACATACTGATGTTAATGATGTTAAAAAGCCAAAAGGTCTTTATGAAGACATACAAAATGAAACTCATTAAAATAATGGTCTAATTACAGTAACTTTCAAAGCACTACACAACATCATCTGAAACAAATAGACATCTATAACAATACCAACTCTGTGATTTTAGCTAAATTTATATGTCTTTTGATCAATTAAGGGAATGTTATGTATATTAGAACATCTCAAAGTTTTTCTCTTGGATGAAGCTCGACTACTCTTCTCTCTGCAGTGTCTGCATGTTGAAATCTGGYCTCCCTCCATGGCTGAAGCACGCTGCAGGGTGCGTGAGCTTTTAGCTTTTTTGGCTAAGACTGAAGTCTTTATCTAGTTTAGTCTAAAGGACAAAAGAGGGGCTGCTGTAGCTTAGTGGTCATTGAATAGGTCTTGTAATAATAAAGGCTGCAGGTTTGAGTCCAGACATCATGAAGAACATCCAGTGTAAAACAATTGTCAAATTTACAGAAAATGTGAACCAAGACAAAACTAATTATCCAACATCAATCAGTTCAGATGACCTGCGGCTATGACTACACTGTGCATTAGCATGCATGTTTCTCTGTAAATCCTTCTTCAGTGCTCTAAAGAAATGCACAAACATGTTCTCTGAGTGATGCAACCAGTACATCTGGACTTGATTTCACACACTTTAAAGAGGGGGTATTATGTATTTTCCAGGGACATAGTTCAATTCTATACCACAATCAAGCAACTATGTTACCTTCAGTTGTTCTGAAAATGATGTAWACATCAAAAATAAATTTGACTTTGCATCATAGCCTGCATAAACACCTTGAAAGTGGCCTCTGTCTCTTTAAGAACCTCCTACCGTTTACGACATTCCCACATCAGCACGTCTTCACAACACTGCTTCATGTCGTTTACAACCTTTCATAGGCYCGATGTATTTTGTTGTGAACAAAGAAGCGACGTTATGCTATCGGTTTTGGAAAATGGCAACTCAAGATACAGTTGAAGCTTACATAAAGATCCCAAGTTGGACCTGGAAAGTATGTTTTCTGAAAAACTGAAGTACAGAGGTAAGAGGCAAGTACAGAGGCTCTTTCAAGACATTTCAGCTTGGAAATATATCTCTCAGTCATCCTCTCATGCAAATACATAAATGTTAAGCTATGTTTTGGGAAGAAACAATATACAATTAGGTCCATATCTATTTGGACACAGACAATTTTTTTTTACCTGTTTACTGAAACCAGAGGTTTATATTTTTTAAATTGTGACTTTTACTTAGTTACTTTTAAAACCTAAAAATGATACTTTTACTTCTTTACTTTAAAGTTTAACACCTAGTTACTTGTTAAAAAATTAAATCTGTATGAAGGACTTGATTATGTACTCTAAAAAGTTAAGTGTTCAATTTACTCAACTAAATCATATCAGCTATTTCCACTAAACCTAGAGTACATTTGAGGTGATACACATATTTTATTTTAAAGAAATTAACCAATTTAATCAACTTGGTTTTGTGGAGCCTGTTTGGTTCTGTAAATTTAGCAGTTTATTTGTTAGAGAGTGCGGAAAYGTACTTTTACTTTCCCAGTTTTTGTGAACAGTTTTATGACTTTTTCTTAAAGAGTAACTTACCCCAAAATTAACTTTTTTTAGCTGATAAACTGTCTAGAATGTGTCTAAAATGTTATATACTACTGTTTCTGTGCTAATTTTAATGTTTTGTGCGTATTTGTTCAAATCTGTAATATTTGGTCTAAAAACGTGTTTTTGCTGCTCATATGGGTAGAGCAGTGGTACTGCAGGCTAATTTGCATATTGATTAACGGCTCTCCACGGTGACGTGTCTTCTCCACGGTTTCATCACAGCGGCTGTGTTCTGGTATAAAAGCCTCTCTCTAAGACACGCCCGTGCATCAGTCAGAGGGTGGAACAGTTAGCAAGCTTAGCATTAGGGCTGCCACGATTAGTCGATTAGTCGACGACTAATCGATTATTAAAACAACCGATGACTAATTTAATAATCGATTAG